GTAGTAGTGTCAAAATTGTACATATGAGGCTTATATACATTGCATTAATTTATATAGGAATCCACTATACTAACATATAGTTCCACTGAGGAGCCACAGGGACGTATGCCCAACACTCACCATTATTGGCCCTGAATGACCATGTAACCTCTTTGGAATTACTTTGTTTAACTCCATATCCAGAGGAGGTCTCTGCTGGCACTGGAGGATGAGAACGAGCAGGGAAGAGTTAAGATCGTCGATGGTCTAAGAACAGCTCTGAGGACACAGCCAATGAGGTACAGTTCCAATTCTAACGCATGTGTTTCTGTGAAAAAGAATTACCTCCAACTTCCACTCTGACTGATCTCCCTCAGGTTCGTGACACGATTCATTGACTTGGACGGCCTGTCGTGTATCCTGAATTTCCTCAAGTCAATGGACTATGAGACCACAGAGTCTCACATCCACACCTCACTGATTGGCTGCATCAAAGCTCTGATGAACAATTCACAGGGTCGAGCTCATGTCCTGGGTCACTGCGAGAGTATTAATATCATCGCACAAAGTCTGGCCACTGAAAACATCAAGACCAAGGTACGAATAGTACATTAGAAGCTGAGTGATTTGGTGAATGTCATTTGGTTTCTGGATGCTGGTTTGCAATGAAGTAGTTTCTATGTAAGGATCACTGAATGGGCCCATCTGGTCAACATTTTTTCAGAGAGTCAATCAAGTACAAAGGGTCGCTAAGAAACTGCAAAATGACCACAAACACAAGTAAGACACCCAGAAAATGACATAAATGAGCACAAGGACACCAAAGCAGAGATGTAAAATGACTATAAGAGAAACAACCACAAAGGGACACAAAATTTAAAAAAACAAGACATTCATAATGACTATGAGATCGGATATATCCACAAAGGGGATGGCACTGCCCCAGCGTGTTTGTGTGTATGCATTGAAACTAATGTTGGTTCCATGATGGTTTTGCTTTAAAGGTACAGTGTGTAGATTTTTGTGATATCAAGTGTTAAAATGTCATGTTGCAGCTGAACACCCCTCACCTCACCCTCTCCTTCCAAACATGAAAAAGAACCTGTGGTAGCTTCAGTTGTCATAAAAACTCAAAAGGTGTTTAGTTTGTCCAGTCTGGACTAGTGTAAAAAACATGGCAGCCTCCTTAGAGAGGGTCCCCAAGATGTAAATATAAAGTATTTAAATATGAAGGGTCTTTTCTGGGGTAAAGAAAACTACAATTCATACAATTTAGATGAAATGAACTAGTGAAAACATCATGAGAATTATTCTACATTAAATTTCTGCCAATAGTTTCATTTCACCATAATCTTACACACTGGATCTTTAAGGAAAAACTTTACTTTGTTCTTCTTTTCATCTGTAACTGACCATTCCTCTCTCTTCTTAGGTTGCAGTGTTAGAGATCCTTGGTGCGGTGTGTCTGGTGCCAGGAGGCCATAAGAAAGTGCTAGAAGCTATGTTGCACTACCAGAAATTTGCCTCAGAGAGAACACGATTTCAGGTCTGATTTTATTTATTTTATTTTTCATTTTTTGCAAAGACGGATGTGAAAGGACGACATACAGTAGATTAATCTGATTTCTTGACATGACAACTCATAGCTCATAGGAGTCAAAATGCTAAGTTAGGATGTTACAAAATAAGGTCAAATAATTATAAAAACTTTGAATCAAAATGTTGAATTATGGTGTTAAATGTTTACACCCATTAGGTATCAATCAGATATGCATATGCTCTCTGTGTTGCTTGTCTCACTTCTGCCCATCCCATCATGCCTCTGAATTGGAGAAGCTGTCTCTGCAAAGTTCTGTTGTCATTAAAATCCTTTGGAATCATCCTCTTCGTGGTTGGACAGAAGACAATCATTTTGAGGCTCACGTGGTGTCAAACATCAAAAACAGCAGTTATATAAGTGTATAACCGGAGTGGTTTCTGTCCTGTGTGCAGAGCCTGCTGACAGACTTGGATAGATCCACTGGCCGCTACAGAGATGAAGTTAATCTGAAGACTGCCGTCATGTCCTTCATTAATGCTGTGCTCAGTCAGGGAACAGGAGAGGTAATGAACAAACTGTCTCTGTTGAAGGAGCAATCACATGCATGCAGCAATAAGTACCATCAGTATACTGTTTTACTATGTGTGTTTATTTGTTCTTTAAGTGTCATTCCTTCACTCTAGTTACATCCCCTTAAAAGATAAGGCCGGTGTTAATGTTGGGTTTTTTTAAATATCAAAGATGTCGATTTTGACATTCCCACTGTGTATGTGGCTCGAGCCACAAGTCCACTTGTGTTACTGAAAATTGTATTTTTGGATTTCATTTTTTAAATTGCTGAGTAATTTCTAAAAGGCACTCGGTCCCTGTTGGTGACAGTTTTTGTAGCAGTTGTTGAATTTGGTTTCTAGTGAGGGCGTGTGTTTAAAACTCAAGTTTTTGAGTAATTGGTTCCTGATCAATCTCCAAGAAAAAATTCAGGATGACTGGCTCTTTAACTGTCAGGGACTGATGCTACTACCTGATGTTTTCCTGTTGGTGTTTGAGAGTCCTGTATTTTCATTTTATCTAACAAACAAAGATGAATATGAATAATATATGTGGACATGTTTTGTCCATGTGTGTGTTTCACAGACCAGTCTGGAGTTCCGTATCCATTTGCGCTACGAGTTTCTGATGCTGGGCATCCAGCCAATCATTGACAAACTACGTTCCCATGAAAACGCCACCTTGGACAGGTACATCAGCTGCACCTAAAGGTGCAAACATGGGATGTATCATGGAACTAACATATAAGCAGCAGGCCACATGAATTGATTTCTACATTAACAGAGTTTAAAAGAATTTTCTGAGTTTAGTTGTCACACCTTTGTTGTTGTCTTCCAGACATCTGGACTTTTTTGAGATGTTGAGGAATGAAGATGAGCTGGTGATTTCCAAACGCTTCGATGCTGTAAGTCATTTAGACAAACCTTTACACTTTCCAAATGCTTTAACACAAACTTTTCTTTATGTCACACCCTAGAACAGCAGACTTAACATTTCTGATGTTTTACACCATACCAAGCATCTTTGGTTCTTGTACACAGCACAACTTTAAGAGGGGAATTTATGGATTAAACCAAAACAATTTAATACTATAAGCTGCATGTTATGTTCCTTTAAAATAAAACCCACTTGCTCCAGCACAACTTCAGCATGTCACATTAAATTTGAAAATTGAAAATGCAAATATGTACTGTGTTATAAAACCAGTAATAAATGTCTTCTGTAACATCGCCTCAGGTCCATATAGAAACTAAAAGTGCAAGCCAGATGTTTGAGCTGATCAAGAAGAATCTGAACCACACTGAAGCTTACCCTCACCTCCTGTCAGCACTGCAGCACTGTCTCATGATTCCACGTAAGACTGTCTGTCTGTCTTTCTGCTCGCCCACAGTTCATTACATGATCCATGGCAGTGGAAGTTTCTCTCTTACTCGTGTCACTGTCTGTCTGCAGATAAGCAGAACAACACCACACTTCAGTACTGGGTGCTGTTGGACCGGATAGTTCAGCAGCTGGTTCTGCAGACGGACAAAGGTGAAAACCCTGACGTTGCTCCGCTGGAGGACTTCAATGTTAAAAATATTATCCGCATGTAAGTGTGCAGGATTCCTAACTCTGAGACATGAACATCCACCCATTAATGATTACTGTAATACTAATGTTATATATTCCAAAACACCAGTTTTTTTACTAGTAGAGGTAACAGAAACATTTCCTGCAGAGATGGCTGCTGACGTTTGCCAAACACGACAAACATTTTAACTTAACTATTTATTGTTCATACACGAACAAGATTATGTTTAAAAATACAAAAAATCACAAATAAAGGTTTAATCCTCATTTAACTTATTCAATATCTGTATGTATGTATATACATGTTTGCTTCTTTTTTAACATCTATCTTCAAAATGTGATATTTGTGTCTAGTGGACACATGTGCATCATTTTTTATCCATGTTGTTTTTAGGAAAAAAAGCTGATTAAGAGTAAATGTACTTTAGTGACAAATGATAAGACATGTAGCTCCTGTGTGTGTGTGTGTGTGTGGTAGTGCTGGTGGTGGAAGATGCAGACTAACTTCTTTCTTCATTTGTGTTTGTATGTGTCTTTAGGCTCATCAAGGAGGGTGAGGTCAAACAATGGAAAGAACAAGCTGATAAAATGAGAAAAGGTAAATACACACATGTCCATGTTCGGCATTAAAATGAACAAACATGGTTAGTTGTACAGTTTTTGCTTTTCCTGACTCATCAGATGATTATGCAGTAGCAACTAAAGGAAGTGAACCATGTGCAATTATCCACATTTATATGTAAATTTGTCTTCACAGCAATAGATTAGGTGTAAAAAGGGCGCTGCATACAAACATGAAAACATCCATTGATATTAGAATATAGAATATGAATAAGCAGTTCTGTGTGAAGAATGGTCTAAGCACTGTGAGCATTAGATTGACCCTCTTCCTCCTCCAGACCAGCAGAACTTACAGCAGCGTTTTGAGAAGAAGGAGAGGGAGTGTGAGGCAAAGAGCAAGGAGAAAGAAGATATGATGGCGATGCTGAACAAGATGAAGGACAAACTGGAGCGAGAGAGCAACGACCACAAGCAAGCGAAGCTACAAGTGGCAGGTCTCTCTGATCGTCTGCAGCAGCTCAGCTCTGTATGTTCACCAACACAACAAGCTCGCTCGTCTGTCTGTTCAGAATTCGTTGTCCATATCTGATTTATTTTCTCTTGTTAACCTTTAGAACTCCAGCATTCCAGGAGGACCTCCTGTGACTTCTGGTGGTTTAGTCCCTGCTGGTGTTGCCTCGTCCATCCCCTCTCCTCCTCCTCCTCCTCCACCTCCTCCTCCAGGTGGCCCACCATCTTTTGGCATGGTCCCATTTGCCCCTCCTCCTCCTCCTCCTCCTCCTCTAGGAGCTTCACTAAACACTGCCCCAAAGAAGAATATTCCCCAGCCATCCAACCCGATGAAGTCATTCAACTGGAGCAAACTGCCTAAGGTCTATTGGTGCTCATGAATATTACTATCTTTATTGACACTAATGTTTCACCTACACCCTCACATTGAGCAGGTTTTGATTTAAACACAAGGCAGGTGTTGATTAGTTCGTGTCGTACTTTATATTACCCCAATAACATTTTGTTACTCATTTGTTACTGATAACGAGAAGACAACTTAACTTCCTTGAAGGTTCAGTGTGTAGGATTTAATGGTCTGCCTTTCTAGTCTTAATGGCCACTTCTTTACAGTACAGTTTTGCCATACAGTGCATCTATGTGCAGCACCTTTTCTGTCCCACATCTATCACAAACTAGCAGCACAGCAGTGAGGGCCAGTTTGTGCTTCAGTATCTTAAGGACATGTCAATATGTGGAATGGGGAGACTGTGATCAAATTATTAACCAAATTATTATCCCTCACCTACTCTTCCCCTCTCAACTGCATTAGAGAACCTAAGGTGGCCCTCAAGTTACATTTAACTGGGATCTTCCCTCTCTTGATCCAGACCTTAGTTTGTCCATTCTGGGTTACTGTAAAAACATGGTGGACTTAGTTGAAGTGGACCTTCTCTCTCTTCGTAGCTATGAAGAGCTGATTGTAGGGTAATGAAAACACAATGGTTCTAATTTTCAATAATGATAACATAACAATAAAAACATTGTTTAAAATATTGCTATACAGTATATATATAATTTCAGCTGTCAGATGCATCTAATTCTTCCACACTGGACCTTTATTGTTGTCTTTATTTTCAATCTCTAGGTATCTTCAACAATGAAGAAAAGTCAATCACAGCTTGAGCCATCCTGTCAATACCATAGCCTTGTTGTGTAGTTAAATATTTTAAGGAGGCTATGTAGTAGCTAAGTCTGGTAGCTGCTGTATGTATAGTGTAGCTTCTTACCACAGAAGAATGGAGCAAGAAAACTTTTGTGGTTATACGGTTTTATCGCTGACTGAACATCCTCCAAAGACATCTGGTAGAGATTCAAAGATCAGTCCCACAGCAGCAGAGCTGAACTGACACCTTTGATTTTACCTGGCTGTGACCTGGACACGTTCCCTCAACATGGCTGATTTGTTGATGGTTATACAGTACATATTCTGTAACATCACCAAATGCCTGTCGATAATTTTAAGAAATGTCCTGGTCTGACCCATTTGCCTGCAATATGTAACTTTCAACAGAATCCTGAAACTCAACATCACCACCAATAATATGAGACATGTTCATTCCTCCTTAAAGAATTCCAACAAGCTGATAGTGAAAGTATCAAGAGGGAAGTGAGAGAGTATCCACTTGTGGTTTTATGGTTTTAGTCTTTTGTTGGCAGTAGTCCAGGAGCAGCCAACTACACCACTATGAAGTGGGCAAGACACCGGTTTAGCTTGTAGTAGTGGTGGAATCCACATAGATAATCTCTGCAGAGGTCAGAGTCCTGTCCCAGAGTTGAAATCCCAGGTAAAGTTATTCATTTGACCTCTAATTAAAATGATGTTAACAACATTGTTTGTTTCTGGAAAAGACTGAAGGAACCATATGGAAAGAAATCGATGACATGAAGGTGTTCAAAGAACTGGATCTAGAAGAGTTCCAGAGGACGTTCTCAGCTTACCAAAGACCACAGGTAACATAATGCATACTGCAGTGACATGAAACAACAACAAGACACTGCAGAGAGAGAGAGAATGGGAGGAAACAAACACATAGTTAGTAAAATAAATAAATAAACGTAGGGCCAGAGAAACAGAAAGAAGGGGAGAAGTGCTCATTGGTGCATTATGGGAGTTACCCCAGACATGTAGGCCGATGGCAGCATAACTAAGGGATAGTTCAAGGCTCACCTGACCCAGCCCTAACTATAGGCTTTATTAAAGAGTCTTGAATGTAGAGATGGTGTCTGCCTCCCGAACCCAGAGTGGGAGCTGGTTCCACAGGAGAGCCTGGTAGCTGAAGGCTCTACCTCCTATTCTACCTCCAATTCTTGGAACCACATATATTGGGTCATAGATACTAAATGAATCTACTCCTCATGCTCATTTTTGTTGTAATAAGATTTATTATTCAAAGACGGTATTTCAAAATAATGATACTGTCATTGTTTAATTGCCAGATTCCCAGTCATCGCATGATTTATTGTTTTGTATTTTGTTGCAGTCTGACTTTTCTTTTCTATTCACAGAAAGATGTTGAGGATGATCGCACGATTGTAAAGAAAGTCAAAGAGCTGTCAGTGATTGACGGTCGCCGCGCACAGAACTGTATCATTCTGCTCTCAAGGTCAGTGTATGGACACAATTCTTGCTACTGCAAAAGAAGATATCGCTACCCCACAGAGTTTTCTAGACGTAACAACAGGATTGCATGATCGACGGTGTCAGATCTAGGAGCACTAGTACAGCAGAGTCTCCTGAATCAATACTTCAAATCAAATGGTTAAATATTCTTAAAAGGGCTTTTTCGGTGCTATGACGGGGTTTAAACCCAGACTGGAACTTTCATACACATTATTGTTGATTAGAAATGTTTGCAACTGGGTGAGAACTACCTTCTCTAGGACTTTGGACAAGAAGGGCAGTTTAGAAATGGGCCTGTACAGAGAGCAGAGGGATCAAGATTTTCTTTCTTTAGCAAGGGCTGTACAACAGCATGTTTAGAAGCAGCTGGGACACAACCAGAGAGAAGGCAGGTGTTTATCAGTGACAGAATGGATGGGCCAACAGTGTCAAAGACTTCCTTAAGAGGCGAGCAGGGATGCTATCAGAAGGGACAGTTTTTGGGTCGCACCTCGGTTTTTGCAGATTTTATGGCTTTCTGATATTCAGATAGACGGTCCTATAATATTTCATATGATACTCTGAGTTTGTCCTTTTTCCACCTTCTCTCTGCTTGCCGACATGCACGTCTGAGGGTGTGGCTATAGTTGTTTAACCATGGCTCTAAATGACAGTGATTATGATCGCTTGATGATTATCAATGTACCTGTGTATCAGAATCAGATTGAATAATCAGAAAAACTTAATTTATTGGTTAATTGGGTTTTACAGTTCAGGTACAGACCCATATAAAAAGAAATATAAGTAAGAAGTAGAGGTATGTTAAAGTGTTAAATGTATTTTGGTACAATATGTATACAAGGAAACACAATAATAATTTCCAAATATGTATAACACAGTATCAACAGCTGAAATATCGTTAAAATGGAATCTGCTGCAAATAAGCTACATTTAGATTTCACGCTATTTATTTGCTGCTATTTGCTCTCCCCTGGCATTGACATTTTATTCAGTTTTAGTTTAATTTGTTTTGGTTTTTGTAGATGACATATTTGATTCTATTGGGAGTCACCAAAGTCCATTTCACTACTGACACTTAATATTTTGGTTCCATATCAGTGTGGTATGTGTTTATTTGATTTGTGTATTGTTTTATCCTCTTATTGCAATCTATTTAACAAACTCAATCGGTACATCCGTTAATGATTTAACCAAAGTTTAACAAAGAGTAGAAATATGGAGCTAACTGAAGATTCTGTTATGGCCTTAGTTCCAACATAGGAACTTTTGATGCTTCTTACACTGGCCTCGACAAAAGCAGAAATTACTTCCTCCAAAGTTAAATAAACACATCTCTATTACAGCCTCTACAAAAAGATTACATCACATTAAATTTCTCTAAATTGAGTTAGTGTAAGTGATTGTATTCACAACTGAAATACAATTTTTGTCTGTGTTACAGGTTGAAGTTGACCAATGAGGAGATGCGTCAGGCCATCCTGACCATGGATGAACAGGAGGATTTACCTAAAGACATGCTGGAGCAGGTGCTGAAACGCACACATGCAAAGAAACACACAACCCAACCCATAGACACACATGTCCATTCCTAAACATTGCATTCTGAAGAGTAGGGGGAGTGTCTGATGTCCAAGGCTCCTTCTGTATTTGTAAAATCCATCTGAAGCGTTTGGCTGTTGGAAAATCTTCCACACCAAAATATTGATATTATGAGATACAGTGTCGAGAAAGAAACTATGATGCAGGTCTCTAATGGAAACAACTTATTTACTTTGGGCTAATATGTCTGATGATTAACAACCAACAGAATGACGTAGTTTTCTGATCGTTTGTGTGTATGTGTCTTTGCATTTGAAGCTTCTGAAGTTTGTTCCTGAGAAGAGTGACATCGAGCTGTTAGAAGAACACAAGCACGAGCTGGACCGTATGGCCAAAGCAGATCGCTTCCTGTATGACATGAGCAGGTACGCACCAAGATAAGTTCTGTTCTGATCACAGTTAAACGCAGTCATTGGAATTTTGGTGAATGGAGCAGTTTCTCACTATCAACTTAGAGGCCTTATTAAAAGCAGAAATGGCTCCAGCAGTGGGTACTGCATCACTTTATAAGATGGTAGAGGTCAAGGGTCAAAGTGCCACGTTTTCATGGTGTAATTCCATCTCATATATAATGTCGTTCCCTAACACATAAATGTTAAATATGAATCTACACAAATCGTTTATACAGCATCCACAGAATAATTTGAATATTGGTCCATTTCGTTAAAAAGAGAGAACATTGAGTTCCACTAAATATTTCTCCACCTCTCCCTGCTGGTGCTGCTCACATTTATTCCGTCTGTTTTGTGTCCACACCCAGAATCAGCCACTACCAACAGAGACTGCAGTCTCTGTACTTCAAGAAGAAGTTTGCTGAAAGAGTGTCTGAGGTCAAGCCTAAAATCAAAGGTACCCTCCCGCTCTCTTTTCTCTCATTTCTCTTTTATTGCTCTGTTTTGTGTCCTCTGCTGAGGACTTTCTAAGATGCTGACTCGCAGTTTTGATTTGAGAGCTGCGTGTTGACATTTTATCTCGTTCTCTCTGGGGTTTCAGCTCTGTGCCTGGCGTCCAGAGAGGTGGTACAGAGTGGGAGGCTGCATCAGCTCCTCGAGGTGGTTCTGGCCTTTGGGAACTACATGAACAAAGGACAGCGAGGAAATGCATACGGATTTAAAGTCTCCAGTCTCAACAAGATAGCTGACACCAAGTCAAGCATAGACAAGTACAGTTCTCTGCCTGGCACCCTACTTAACTAGCCTTTTTCATTGAAGACATGTTGACTTGTGGAAATAGGAAACATCCATGTTCAGAAAATATAATGAGAGATGGCTGAATATTAAACACACATGTGGATGGAGTGATGTCCTTTTTCTACTATGATGGGTCAGAATGTCTCCTGGGATGGAATAAGACCTTTTCACTTGTTCAGCAATTTGTTTTAAAAGAAACAAAGAAAGTTATATGTGTTAAATGGTTGATTGTAAAATGTGTGTACTGCGTGTTTGTAGAAACATCACTCTGCTCCACTACATGATCACTGTACTGGAGAAGAAGTACCCGAAGGTGGTGACCTTCAGTGACGAGCTACCAAATGTGCCAGAAGCTGCTAAAGTCAGGTAGGGATGAAGTAACACACACACACACACACACGCACGGTCATGAAGGAGGGGATGGGGAGGAATGAATACAATAGATCCTGTCTGAGGATCTAAAGCGGTAAATGAATAATAGTGGGAAATATAAGGGCGTGATAATCCAGACAGAGCCTTCAAAGTGATTGAGAGTAGTTTAAAATTGGTTCAAAAGGAAAAGAAAGTCTGGAGGCAAAACTAAGGGTAATGTGGCCATATATTTGGAACCAGATAGGAAGTGAGCTTCAGCACTTTGAATGATTTTAGTGAGAGACGTTACAGGGTAATTAATAAATGCAGTATATAACCTGGCCAAGACTTCAGAGGGTTCAATGAAGGTCTCTACACTCAGTTGTTCCAGTAGCTCCAGTTGCAACTCACCCTAAAACCACAAACAGCATGTGTTTGTCTTACTGTCTCCCCTCAGTATGACAGAGTTGGAGAAGGACATTGGCAATCTGAGATCTGGCCTAAAGAGCGTAGAGGCGGTAAGTGAGCTCAGTAGAGAGCTTGAAAATCTTGTTCTAATGTCCTGTCGCTCTGTCTGATGTCTTGTTGTCCGTTTGCAGGAGCTGCAGTACCAGCAGGCTCAGTCCTCTCACTCTCCTGCTGATAAGTTTGTCCCTGTGGTCAGTCAGTTCATCACTGTGGCCTCCTTCAGCTTCTCTGAGGTAGAGGAGTCGCTCACCGAGGCCAAAGAATTGGTGAGTGGGCAACCGATAACTGCCATTCAGGTTTATTTTCTGATTTACTCTGCCTTAAAAACTTTGAATATCATCAGAACACTGAGCAGCGCAAATAAACCAGGAATATGATTCAACATCCATGAAAAATTCTGGAGCGAACTCCCAGTTTCCCACTACATCCAGTTTGTTAATCTAGGCCAACCACACCCTTACTAAATATACAGACATATGATTGATATACATCAAAACATCATAAGGAAAAAGCCAAATTGTTGTACATGAACGTTTCCTTCAAGATGGTAATGGGCTGCTGACGAAAGGCATACATGAATTTGAAGCGAAAATCGTGGATCAAAGTTCACTAATGTTGCATTTCAGGTGAAGCCATGTTGCAATTTCCTTCGCCACAGGAAGCAGATGTTTTATTGGCCGCCTTATAATACAGATTGGACGTGAACAGGAGGCCAAGGTTCATCACTGATATGCAGGTGTATGTGTGACCAGGCCTGAATATTCATGTTTGCCTCCACATTACATTGTAGCATCAATTTCAGTATACACCAGACCAATCACCTGATAGATGCTGCCCATATCCATATTGTATCAAGTTAGGATTTTAACCTGATGACATAAAAATAAATGTCCCCAGTGTCCACAATGAGATATGTTTGAGATCAACAAAAAAAGATGGAAGAAGAACAGCTGAATATTTTAACACAATTGGGACATCACTGTCATGAGGGCTGTGGGATCACAAACACACTTTGCAACTGAACTGTGCTCCCTCTTTGTCTCTTGTTGTAGTTTGGAAAGGCACTAAGACACTTTGGAGAGGACACGTCCAAACTGCAACCGGATGAGTTCTTTGGGATCTTCGACACTTTCCTCGAAGCGTTCTCCGAGGCCAAACAGGACAACCTAAACATGGCCAGAGTCAAGGAGGAGGAGGAGAGAAGGGCACTCATGGAGGCACAGGTCAGCAGACATTAAGAGATAAAGAGAGGGATGTACTGTTGGCAGATGTGAAAATATTCTTTTGAAAGGATGAGAAATGTATTTGAATTGCTCTGGACCAGCTGTCTGTTGGTGGTGCACTTTACATGCATTTATTTGAAAATGTTGAAATCTGCACATTTCTCATGTTAACTTCTGAGAGATTAAATCTATGACCTTACCTACAAACTTTCCAAATTTCCATATACTAGGTCTGATGATCACCTCATTCATTATGGATAAATGTTCATCCACTGTCTCTTTGTCACAATCTCTCTCTCTCTCTCTTTGCTTCTAGCTGAAGAGAGAGAGAGAGCAGAAGGCGAGGAAAACCAAAGCCAATGAAGAGGAAGGCGAGTTTGATGACTTGGTGTCGGCTCTGCGCTCTGGGGAGGTGTTTGATAAGGATCTGTCCAAAATGCACCGCAGAAAGCAGCGAAAACTCAACACGTTTGAAGGCAGCCGAGAGAGACCAGCATCAAAATTGAAGTAGTACCAGGAAACTACACGAACAGCAGCAGCTCACTGGGACTGTCACAGTGGGGATGTCTCAGCAACACTGTGGTTGGACAGGAAGTCAATTATCTTAGATCCACATTCATGGTTCAAGATTGTGCAGATACATAAATACTTTACGTATACAGTAAGCAGAAACAAGCATTGCAAGCATTTTTGTACTTCAGCCCTTTATTGTTACCATGCTTTATGGAGAGCTGAGGCTAAAAGGTCTATTGGTTGCTAATAATATTTAATGCTAGACTTACACAAATGTGTTTTGTGGGTGTGCCGTGTGCTCAATGCTGATGTTGACCCACAACATAGCTGGCTTTGTGCCATCGTCCCATCAGCGGAAACAACCAGATGAGCGCACACCAGGTTCAGCAGCTGCATCTACCTCCTCTTTCCACACTCATTTTGACAAGCAGTAAATGTATTTGCATTAATGTAATTTTATTGGCGAGCACCTATGAGTATTTATTTAAATATGATTTTACTGACCCTCTGTTAAGTGGAGCTCTGCAAAAATTAATCAGTGGGAGTGAAAATGTCAAAAGACACCCTATCTTGCAAGGCTAAAAAAAAGTGATAGAAAATGTCTGGATCAGCCTAATCTGAATTCACACCAAACTTAAATAGTCTCTAACTCACACCGCATTCTTCCACCAAGTTTCGTGGTCATCCGTCCTGCAGTTCTGGCTTGATTTATAAAAAACAAACCAATGGACAAACAGACAGGGGTGAAAACAAAACCTTTTTGGCGAAGGTAAAATGTGCGTCATTCGTCCTTTAGATGAAGGTGGACCGCTGAGTTGTACTTAGAAGTCCACTGGGTCCTTATTCAGTGGACGACTGAGGAATAGATCACTCAGGATTTTTTTTTTTAAATTGGATAATTTTGTAACTGTCTATATTACTATGTTTTCGTCCTTTATAAAGTGTTAATATATACAACTGCGTTTATTCAGCACTGGTATTTAATAATTTCATCAAACAATGTTCTGTAAATATATAGACAATATTATCCTGAAAAAGTTATATTCATTAGGTCACTGCATTATTTGAACAACATATAGAAAGATATTTAACAGAGAACATCTTCATTATCAGCTAATGTGGGCTTCTATTGTAATATAAGTGTAAAGTGATGAAGAAGTGTGTCAGTTTCAAACTCTCGTAAAGGGTCCAGCATGTGATATTTAGAGCATCTATCAGTAGAAATGGAAAATAACAATCACGATCATGTTTTCATTAGTGTATTATGACCTGAAACTAGTATCGTTGTGTTTTCTATAGCTTAGAATGAGCTGTTTCTATCCATTGGACAAACTCAACACTAAACCTTTGAGTTATTAAAGTGTCAGATGTACCGATGGTGTTCCACTTACCAGTGTTTTGGATCTTTATTTATCTGTTTCTGTGTAGAGAATGTGGCCTTGAAAGATTGTCTGTTTTCGGTTGAAACTGATGGTTAACATGTTCAGCAGTCTGGGACCATGTGGCATCTCTATTCCAACCTCTCAGAGGATGGAGAGGCTTGTTTCTCAGGAGTGAACACAAAGTTGACGTTTTCATGGTTTTTCAGCCCACGACCTTGACACTTCGGAAAATAAAAAGATATTATGCCACTTCAATCTGTTTAAGTTGTGCTGTGGTCACAAATGTCATAAGAATATACTGACGTACAAAGTAACGATAATGAAGAATGCAATCTACTGTGTCGATTTAAGTTTGGTATTTATCATAATCCATGTCCATGGGGAGGTGGCTTTGTGAGATGTACCAGACTCATTTTTATAAATCCTCAGAAACACGGCAAGAAAATTATTTTATTGAATACAGTTAAATGTTTAATATATATATATGAAACAATGCTATTAATATTTTGTCATTATCACAACAACATTATATTTTGAACTTACCTGTAAATGGTAGTCCAGCTTCAGGTAGGCCATGGGAATGGAGCTGTCTGCACCATTGGTAGCTAAAGACACACACACACACACACACACACACACACACACACACACACAGGGGCTTAATAGAACACTATGCAGAAACATACATAGAAATAAAAAATGTAAAGAATCAGGATCTGATGAAACACGATTTCATAATTTGTTAATGAGGAAATACTGGAGGAATAAAAACAATAATAATAATAATGGTGATGATGATGATGACGAAGGTGGTGATGATGATAGTGATGATGATACATGTCCATTCAACGAGCTTTGGGGTCAGACGTTCATGGGGGGGGGGGGGAGTGCTTTGTCGCCTCCCCGCGGTCACTCTGGGGCCTGCAGCAAGAAAACCAAGCTGCATTCAAGAGCGCCAGTCCGTCCGCGGGGCGCCAGTGTGGCCGCGTCGCTCACCTGATCGTTGAACTAAGTGACACCTAATGTGATGAAGTCCGCTCGACTGTCCTCTGCCGGCCTCGTGCTGGGCTCAAGTGTCAGAGCCACTCCCGGCCCTCGTCACGCTGTGTGCTGTGAGACGTTCACAGACACTCACATGGGACGAGGCAACAGCCCCGCCGCCGCTGCCGCTGCTGCTGCTGCTCACTTCCTGAATCCACAACAACAGACGGAGCGCTGCTGTGTGTCAGGGGGAGCGGACACACGCCGAGTTTGTCTCGATAACGTCAACTTTGTGGCGGTTGGAAGTCCAGCGTCGTCGGTTTGCGTCGACGAGTGCGCCCGCTGCTGTGGCGATGGTGGAGGCTCCGGCGGTCTGTCTGTTCGAGGACATCCAGTATGAAGACATTCAAGTGGAAGCGGTAAAGTTCCAGAGCAGCGGCAGCGGCAGCAGCAGCCTGACATTAGCCCCCCGAGCCCCAGGCTCCTGGGTTTGTCTCATTCTGTCCGTGAGCGACATGGACCCAGCTGCTGTCACTGCACTGGGTCGTAGAAAACACTGAGGCCCGAGCGAACCCTCAAACACTCCAGGTGTTCAAACAACGGCCACAAGGCCCCAGGTTCATTAGAGACTGTCTTAGCTGGGACATGTCTCCAAGTGCAGTCAAATTCTGTTCATGCGTCTGAACCAGCTCCTCTAACGCTGAAGAGGTTCTGCTCTGTTTAACATGGCCTGAGTGACCTTGAGTTGGTACACAACCATCCTCTCTTGAGTTTGTCCCGGGGTGTGATGTCGTCTTCTTGTCTTTCTTCAGGCTGTTGGCAGAGGGACGTTTGGTGTTGTCTACAAGGCCGTGTGGAAAGGAAAGGATGTGGMCATCAAGACCATCGAGAGTGACAATGAAAGGAACGCTTTCCTGGTCGAGGTACGGTGATCACCTTGTTGAAGCCCACTGCTCCAACCGTGTCCCGGCACTCCAGTGTCCTCTGTCTGAGCTTGTTGAAAAGTTCTACGTTCAGTGGGACAATCAGTCTCTTTATGTTCAAGGTTTGAGGATATTTTTTTTTTTATAAAACCTTGACCTGTTACAGAATTCCGCCTTTTTTCACTTTCACCAAGAAAAGTTGAATCAAAGGCAACTGGACTTAGCTGCTCAGACTTTTTGCCTCTCATGACAGGACACGCACAGAAACTGGTAGTAACGTCTGTCATGAGCAATGTTCAGGTCTGAACACACCCGAATGTGTCCTGAGATCCAATCCCTCAAATAAAAATCTGAGGTGGCCACATTCACTTTGCTGTGTTAATGCAAATGCATCCTGGGCCACATTGAAGGACCTCCTACCCAGCTGACGTCTTTGACCCGCCAGTCTTTTCACTGTTTTACATACGTTTGATTACTTTTGGCCACTACCATGATATTAACACACATTGATTTTGTATTTTTCTTGTTTTCTAAATGAGTAAAATAATGAATGGGACACAGACACATCTCTAATTCTCTTTGGCTAAAACGGGAACAGATATGACGTTTATGTTTATTTGCATATAGAGCAGAGAAGTGAGGTCTGATTACAGTGGGGACACATTCTACTGTCAGGTGTGAACTGACAAACCTAGAGCTGTCCACTTGTGACAGGTTCTCTCAGGACAGATGTTAGTACCAGGTCTGGACAGAGTCTCTTTCGAGTTATTATCAAGGTCATTGATGTCTAAATATCTCAAATATCTCCATCGTGCTTCATCACAGGTGTGTCCCTTATTCCTCATGTATCAGCCCTGAGTTTGTACAATGGCGTTGGGAGTGGAAGCAATACTTTTTGCTCTAAAAGCTTTTTTTCGAGCGTTCCCTATACGAAATATATCAGCGATGTATAAAGAGAATTGATCTGAGCAAGTATACAAGATCAATATTGCAACTCAACCAGCAGAACTGTTAATAACTAATGGCAAATAGTAATAGAACTATTAGCTGTTATCAAGTATTTGCTGACCTACAAGCTCATCATTTCTGAGTGTTACATGTCTGAGGACTATTGCCGACCCCTGCCTCTGGAATGTTTTACTGTTGGATAGTTGATAATTATGGTTTTATACAAAAACACAAACGCAGTCACACACACACACACACACTCACTGAGCAGGTGTGTTAATGTTTTGTTCTTGCACATAGTAACGTGTATTTTTTCCCCCCACCTGCTCTCTTGTGTGTGCTCAGCTCCGCCAGCTCTCCCGGGTGAATCACCCCAACATAGTTAAGCTGTATGGCTCCTGTGACAATCCGGTGAGTATCCCAACTCTGCACACAGGCCCGTCATCATAGCTCATGCATAGTCAAACACATCATAGTTCATCATCAAGAGTTTTCTGATTCAGGACCGTTTCGGCACTTACAATTTTTCTATTTAACTTTCCCATATAAATGTAAAACCCTCATCCCAAAAATCGAATGCGGTAATTTGCAAATCGATTTTGACCCATTTTCAATCCAAAAACAATACCAATACAAGATAATGTTCAAACTGATGAACTTTATTGTTTTTGCAAATATATGCCCATTCTGAATCTTCTTTTTTTCTGAAAACATATGAAGATGGGAGGAGGTAACAATTTGCCATTGCTACTTACACCTGAAAAGACCCCAATTAAAAAAAAATAATAATCTGGATATAAAATTACCTCTGTCGCGAAAACAGGAGATATAACTGTTATAAAAGTTACTGTACTGATCTCACTGCTGAGGCACAGTTACATGATTTGTGTTCTCAGGTCTGTTTGGTCATGGAGTATGCAGAATGTGGCTCTTTATATAACGGTAAGTCATATCATGTGATAAAAACCATAAGTATCATGATCAACCTGCTAATGAAAAGTATTCTTTTTAGTAAAAATACACATTTTAATAGATTTCTTTAATATTTTGGGCAAAATATTGTGTGAAAGTGAGAAATGATCAGTAACAATATAAAGACAAAAACCACACCAATGGTGCTTGTGTCTTTTCAGTGCAGTGATAGTAGTCCACTTGTTCATATAGGGATGTGTCCTTCTTTGCTTGTCTCTCCTCAGTCCTTCACAGTGCAGACCCACAGGCCCAATACACCTCGTCTCATGCCATGAGCTGGTGTCTGCAGTGCGCCAAGGGAGTTGCCTACCTGCACGCTATGAAGCCGAAGGCCTTAATTCATCGGGACCTCAAACCACCGAAGTAAGACTTCATTGACAAACACAGAAGTCACACAGTTCAGAGTCACTGGATGAACACTGGAAACTTTGGGAGGCGTGTTTGTCGAGCGACAGAGAAAAGATCATTTGTGTCTGAAGCCGTTTTCAGACATGTGGGTAAAGTCTGAAGAATTGGCTACGGAGTTTACCCAGAGTTTGCCTTTCACACACGCACACACACAACCCAGCGGGAGGTTCTCTGCACGGGCGTCTTCACCACAGCAAAAAATCCACCACATTATTCAGACGAGAGGTGGAGCTGCCGGGGGGGCAGCAGGAAGAGGTAGGAAGTGACGTGTTAGCGCTGCTGCGTAGATTACGTGATCATGTGATCATACCGCAGCCCGACACCGTCGTCAGCTCTTATCACCACAAACTCTTGACATTGACTTTATACTAGGAGGCCAGGCGGAGAAAGTCAGCGGATAATTGGGGCTGCGGAGCTGTCCATGACCCCTGCGTCCGTAGCCTGGGAATGTTTATGTTTATTTATCGCAAGTCATATAGTCATCAAGGTTATCGCATTTCACGTTTTCCTAATATCCTGCAGCCCTAGTTGGTACCCCTCCTTCAAAAAGAAAAGTCACAATTCTCTCTGAAATCAGATTAAACTGCTAAAAGGATTTGGTGTCCTCTTATCACTATTTCATATTTGATAAAACAGACAAGCTACTTATACTTCATTTTACTTGCTTTTGCTTTTTATCTGTTTATCGGGTCAAAGTTTATGACCAAACTACTGCAACGATATTTCGTCTGAACTCGAAAGTTCCTACCTCCTGGTCTTTAATATATAGGTATATGTTTGAGTGTATACCACGATATCTATAGTATGTATGTCACAGGGTTCTTTTTCAACCTACCTTGAAAAACAAAACAAAACAAGATTTATATATTATAATTATATTCCTCAATATCTGTAATTTGTTATTTTCCCTGCAACGGGTCCAGGACTGACGTTCTGGGACAAAAGCAGCTCCTTTTAAAGCGACAGCCCCTCCCGCTAAGTTTAATATTTTTATAACAAAATACAAGTACATTATTTCTTCCCTGTAAGTTTTCAGCACAGAAATATAAACAGAAAATAGTAATACGTTACATTTTCCTTCCAGTCAAACGGGTGATTTATGGCAGAAATTTTGATTACAAACAAAAAAAAACATTATTTCATAGTTCATGTGACCACAAATGTGTGCGAGATCCACATATATGATAGGAAAAAAGGTTACGTCCCAGTTTTGCCAAGCACAACTTTGAGGTGGGATGATGAGGCGCAACAGTGGTGACAAACAAATGATGAGTTTTGTGTGTATGTATGCGTGGATTAGAGCAGAGGAACCTGTGGTTGTGCTACTGAAAAAGAGAAGTGAGGAACAACAGCAGTTTGTTGCCCGCTTAGTGAGAACAGAAAGGTGTGGGGAAAGTGTTAGGTTGTGTGTGTGTTTGTATGTATGTGTATGCCTCTGTGAGCACTACCTGCAGTCAGTGACGGAGCCGCTCTGTCACAACCTAACGCTGTATTTTCTTCGGTCTCTAATCTCTGTCCACTGTCTGTTTCAGTCTGCTCCTTGTGTCTCGGGGTACAGTGCTGAAGATATGTGACTTCGGCACAGCTTGTGATATTCAAACGTACATGACCAACAATAAAGGCAGTGCAGCGTGGATGGCACCGGAGGTCTTTGAAGGTGAGACACAAGCACGACGGTCACTTCTCGTTGCAGAGCTCCAGCCGAGAGCCTCTCAGATCAGTAGTGACTTGTACAGATTTGCCTGTGTGGTTTGTCAGAGTACTCCAGCTTCCTCTCGCAGTCCAAACACATGCAGCTCTGTAGAAAGGAAGCATAGTCATCTTCAGACATGAACTCGTCTGGACTTTTTCCGGAGTTTGCCTTTCACACATGCACAACGCAGCAGGAGACTCTCCGCTCAGACGCATTCACAACAACACAGAAATCTCTGCAGCATTCAGGTGAGGGGTGGTACAGCAGGCCGAGGCAGGACATCATGTATCAGTTGAGATCACATGTTTTTGTTTACAGCAGCATTAGATTTTAATATCAAAAGCAAATTTTAATTGTATAGCCCATATTCACAAATCACAATTTGTCTCATAGGGCTTTAACAAGGTGTGACATCCTCTGCCCTTAACCCTCAACCAGAGGAAGGAAAAACAAAACTTAAGAAACCTGACAGGAGAAAACAAAACTTAGAAACCTCAGAGAGAGCCACATGTGAGGGATCCCTCTCCTAGGACGGACAGAAGTGGAATAGAGAACGTCGGAAAAATAAGAGTATTTACAGCATTGGTAAACAGTTTGTGGCATGATGGATGTGTTCTCACATCACTTTCTGCTGACTGGACTTGACAGAGAGGAGTTGGAATTTTGAGCCACTCATTGATCTTGCATTCTGTTAAAATAACACCTGTTTATTCAACGAACTGTTCCCTTCGTTTTGTGGCTGATGCTCTGAAACAGTAAACGCTGTGTTGATGTGTGTTCCTCAGGCAGCAACTACAGTGAAAAGTGTGACGTGTTCAGTTGGGGTATTATCCTGTGGGAGGTCATCACACGCAAGAAGCCCTTTGATGAGATTGGCGGCTCTGCATTTTGTATAATGTGGGCGGTCCACAGAGGTGAGTGGAATCCTGACACTGACTCAGGTTGTGTGTCAAATGTGATAAATGGCTGCAGAACGTCGAATCATGAAGTTGAGCCCCAACCTTCACTCAGGAGCAAAAAATAAGCCATTAAACTTATAATTATAATGTGACAAGTTGTGTAATAATTATTGAATGATTAAAAAATGTCTTGATATAATGTTTGGCCATATCATCCAGTCCTGATACTCTTCAGATCCTCATCATGTCAAAGTAGGTTTGACTCGCAGTCTATTGTATTGTGATTGTTACATTCTTATCTTCTTACCACTCTGTCCCAGGTACACGGCCCCCTCTCATTAAATACCTCCCAGAACCCATCGAGACTCTGATGACCCGCTGCTGGGACAAAGAGCCCAGCCAGAGACCGTCTATGGAGGAGGTGGAGAACACCATGAGCCATCTCATGAAGGTACCAGAAAAGCACTTAGTTACTCTTCAGACTTCGTGGACTACCTTCGCTACTTTCCGTAGGAGAGAGCGTCCAGTGCTTCATGTCTGATTTGCGAACAAACACAGGACTGAAACCGGCTGACATGAGGCAAAATGCAAATATGATGCAATGATGTCATGAATGTAGTTACTTCTCTGTTGTGGTTGCCGTTTTCAACTCAGGCCTCATTTTGACACATTGCCTTCTGTACGCAGGGTTTTGACACTCTCTTTTTTTACACCTGCTAAGCGAGGCTATTCACATCCTGACTCCGCATGGGTGTTCGATAGAGAAGGCTCAAGACAGCAGAGAGCTAGCCTCATGTGCCGAGCTTTCCATACTAAGGCTTAAAAACCCACTCTTGAAGATTTTTGACTATATTGTAATAAGAAGGATTGATGGATTTAATGTCCTCAAACCTTTTCAGTTTTTCGTGAAAAAGTCATTGCAGATATATTTAATACAATAGTTCACTCACTGACATTACACTCGTTGACCTTATGGTTTTCTGTCACCGTAATAGTGAGTCTGTTTTTCATTGGGTTCAGCTTGTAATGCCTTGGTTTGATGCAAACTAGATGATGTCATCTTTTTCCGTGAGTCCGGACAAAAAAGGGCTGTGTGATATGAGCACGGTCTGGAGCCCTGCTCTATTGCAAAAAGCCAAGGCCGAAGAAACCTACTGCGATAGCAAAGCACACGCTAATCAAGTTAAGCTCAGTTGGGAACAGACAAGGAACTCTGACAGATGATGCCACAGTTTGTTAGCATCACCAGAATCAGTTTTTTGTGAAATATTTATATCTTCTGACACAATGTTGTCCTTTAACAGCAGAGAAGTTATGTCCTACTGAGGTGAGTGAAGAGTCGTCTTCAGTGTTACAAATGAATCGACAAAAAACACGAGGAACTACACTGATTGCACAGAATGTGGACAACTTTATTAGACTGTCTTTTTTTCAGTAAACACTTGCATTAGGAAAATTGTGCAATAAGCATTATTGAACGTTGCGTTTTCCTCGTACACACGTACGCTTCTGCCGGAGCGCACCAAAACCAGACTCCACATCTGCAAGTGAGGAAAAAAAATATTCACAGTTTGCATAATAAACGGAAGGTCGGTTAGTGACAGAATGATTATTTTATGGTCTGAATGTCTTGTGTTTATTACAGTCCTGCGAGGGCCACACGCTGTTTTTTGTTCTTTCAGATAACTTAATATATATATTTATTGCTATTGGGATGTAAAGATAATCTCAACAAATGAGATAAAGTGTTTTTCGAAACAACTTACCTTTAAGTGGTACAGTGAGTTAAATATTTTGATTGATTTACTATTTGGTTATAATGATCAGGTAATCAGCTTACATTGTTCAAATTGGGTCTTTTCACACATGTCTGGACCTCATTATTTACATACCCTCTGCTGCATGTCCTAATTAGGTGGAGTTGTGATGAGTGACATGTGGTGTTCTCTCAGTATTTCCCAGGTTCTGATGAACCACTGCAGTTGCCTCACCAGTCTTCAGCCAACAGAAGTTCATCAGCCACAAGTTCAGGTAACTATCAGCTCTGCTGCTTTTATCAATACATCTCAAACTAAACAGATAGACTCAGTGTGTGTTGTTGCAGCCAGAGATAGTGTTTTGATAAATTCCTCTGTGCTGGCAGCAGGTTCATACGCCGACTACACCAACAGTAACAGAAGTGATGACAACGCGGATTACAGAAACTCAGAGGGCAGAGAGGAAACCCTGAAAAGCTTTGAGGCCAAATTTCCACTTCAGTTCAAACCTTTAAAGGTAGTATAACCTTGAGGAGTTTGTTTTCTTCAACCTCGACTTTATGATTTGAACTTTTTGGTTTATTCTCCCTCAGACAGCCACATTGCGCACTGGTCTGTCCAAGGTGTCCAGCGTGGACAGTCAACCAGGACGCTCCCAAAGCCCCACCTACTGCAGCAGCCCTGTAACCACCACTAGCCAATCAGAGCTGAGGATGACATTTAGTCCAACAGGTAGGAAGCACCATGAGAAAGAAGCTGATGCTGAAGATGCAGTCAGGCTGACATTTGCTGCACTTCCAGCATTCTGACAGAGACAGATGTTTCTGGAATTATTAGTAAGATTTATCCAATATTATCATTTTAGAGAATAAGTCGGGGTACACTCAACATTCTTTAGAAAAGGGATCGGTGTGATAAATATCTGCATAAGAAAAAGATTCTATGTTTTCATTGTCATTTATAGCCAGCAGGGGGCAGAGCAGAGACCAGAATGTGGCCTTCTCCTTAACTTGAACATACAAGTAAACACAAAGATGCAAGTAGCTTATTATTGTTTCTTTTTAGAACCATATACTTTTTTAATATAAGCAATACCCGACAGACGTTAAGTAAATAAGAGCTATGAATGCTATGCAAAGTCACTTATGACAAGCCCTACTTATCTGTATCTGCCACATCTCTGGTTACTGTCATCAGCCCTGAGATTCCATACTTACATACATACAACATATTGTGTGTGTGTGTGTGTGTGTGTGTGTGTGTGTGTGTGTGTGTCTAGCTACCAATGGTGTAGACAGCTCCATTCCCATGGCCTACCTGAAGCTGGACTACCAGTTACAGGTAAGTTCAAAATATAATGTTGTTGTGATAATGACAAAATATTAATATCATTGTTTTATATATATATATTTAACCTTTAACTGAAGTAAAAAAAAAATCCTATGGCAACCTCGGCACTCCCCTATATGTTGCATGGAATTTGCCTCCATGTATGTCGAAAAATTTTACTTTTGGATTTCAGACAGACCTTATGCTCATTGTGTCATAGTAATTTAGTATAAAGACAAATGAGGTAATAGGTTTTTTCATTAACTACAACAGACTATGTTCATAATCAAACTGTGTCATTTTATATTTAAATATAAGTTAGGTCTGCCAATTTAACAAATTGTGAATTTGCAAAAAAAATCTGTGGGAGAGTTTATTAATATGTTCATTTTTTTATATCAATAGATGTATTAACAATAATATAAACAATGTGCTTTTACTGATCGGTCGCCATGCAGTAATGTTCCAATTTTTGTCCTGAAATTCAGGCCGCAAAAACCGACAAAATTTCCTTTCAAAAATGTTCTCCAGTGGCATCTCTTTCCATGCATTCATTGCATTTTGTTCCACACTATTAGTGCATTAATCACTGTGTCTGGGCTTTCAGCCTCTAGCTCCCTGTCCCAACTCCAAAGAGTCCATGGCTGTGTTTGAGCAGCACATCAGGATGGCTCAGGAGTTCCTCAAGGTCCAGTCAGAGATCTCTCACCTTGTCCAGAGGAAGTAAGTCATGTCGCAGATCGTGTGTTATCATCTTTGATAGAACTATACAGAATTCATCATAACAGATTTGTTAAAACCGTTCTGGTTATCAACTGGGATGCGATCACCTAAGGGATCTGTGTGCAAGATAGTTTGGTAGTCATGGGCCATTTTCAGACGTGACGTCCAGAGGAAGTCTGAAGAATGGATCCACACTTTCTCTGGAGTTTGACGTTCACCCATGCACAACGCAACAGGAGAGTCTCTGCACAAACACTCAAATCTCCGGAGCTTTCACGTGAGCAGGCAGAGGCAGGAAGAAACGTATTAAGTTTGTTTACAGCACATCGACACCGGCATTGGCCCTTGTTACCAAAAACTCTCTTGAAATCTTTGTTGGTGTCTTCTACGAGTATGTCACTGCTTTTTCATTTTTTTCATTTTTGCACTTGTCGCCTGTCAGAAACATCATCAACACACCCACTCGCTCGCATGTGAATCCTGCGGAGGATCTCCTGCTGTGTTCTTACATCAACTCCTTCAGATATTCTGCGGTCTTTATACTAAGGGACTGGCAGGGGGAGTATGCAAAAAGTCTGGGGGCTCTCATTCTGGCATTTGCGTTCACACGTACAGAGAATGTTTGGAGGTTCTGGAGTTCAGTGCATATCTGAAAGTAATTTAAGGGATTTACAGTGTCTGGCTCATATGAATGCTTTCATGGATGTGCTTTTAATGTGAAGGCACCAATAAGATACATGGGACAGCTCAGCCGTCCAGTGGCACGAGGACGTGATGTTGTCTTCTTTGTCTTTGTGAATGATATTATATGGAGATTTAGTCATAGTTATCGTTTAATGGCGTCACACAGCTGTGAATATTTGAGCATATAACTCAGTCGACACTGTGACAGACTGAGTACTCTCATGAGCACAGTTTATCACTGGCCTCTTGTGGTTTCTCACTATATAAGTACATTTAATGTCAATATTTGCTTGTCATAATACTACATGTGATATACATGACACATTATTATCCTGTCTGTGTGTGTGTGTGTGTACAAAATAACAATGCATGGAAGTCAGAAAATGTATAGTTCCACAAATGTTTTCCTATAGGACTACAGACACGTGCTAAAGTTTTTATAGATGCAAAAACACTTCCTGATCATATTGTAGGAATGACAGCTTTATGGTTTAATACAATGCTTTCACTTTTGCAACCCATCAGATTAGATTTGCGATCTAAGATCTCATTTCGATTACCCAGTCATTCATCATCATTTGGTATAAATAACATGGCATTATAACAATACAAAAAAGTAAGTACGGCCTAAATAGGGTATATAAAGCGTGTGCGCAGGGTATATATTGCCCCTTGGATGCTTTTAATTGAACTGTGCACAGAGCCAGGCTAGTTGTTTCCTTATGCTAAGCTAACCTAACCATGTTTTGTCATCTCACTGAGAAGAAGAAAGCAAATTGACACAAATATGCTTATTTTCTCAACTGTTGAATGAATCCTTGGAGACATGCCTGACATGTCTGTTTTACATGTGGAGGCACATTGTCAGTGACAGTGATGGAGTCTGTTAACCTCTGTCCAGACAGGAGCTGATGTCGGAGCTGGAGCTGGACCAGGGGGAGCAGCACACTTCATCCGGACTCATCCAGGAGCACAGGAAGCTGCTGGAGGACAACAGCCACCTGTCGGCCTACCACCAGGGCCTGAAGAGCAAACTGACCCTGATGAAGAGTCAGAACCAGCAGCACAGCTAGAACACCCGACACCCTCTGTTTTTACTCTGCTCTCTTCTGGACTGCCTTTTCTCCTCCTGGAGGAAATGAAACGCTTTGACCGAAAGAGAAAAGTAGGGAAGCCCTTCATCCTGAGAAAATTAGACCTTTAACTCACCACAAAGCAATGCATCAAGCTAACATGAGAATTAAATCCAAAGCCTAAAGTGCAACTGAAATGTAAGTAGTTTTGTCCATGATATTTGATTGACAGCTGAGAGCTGGTATTGGACAGACCTGTCACCATGTTAAACTAAATGTCTGGTGTTTTTGAACCTGGGTCTTAATCTCATTAATTTTGTTGATTCTGACAACTTGTCAACTTCACAGCTCCACTGTAAAGATTTTTGTAAAACTCAACACCTGGCCAGACATTACAATCTTTGCATGTTATTTCAGACAGTTAGTATTAGTATTTCCATTCAAACAATTAAAAAGTAAATGCTCATAATTCTAATTCACAATCTTTTGAGGTCATGAGATAAATCAGTTGTTAGAGATAATGTCAGTATTTACCACGTCCCTCTGGGTCCCTGTCTATTTATTGATGGACTTTGCCATAAAGTCCAACTCATTTCAGTCTTTACTGTTGGAATGGTACCAATGAGTCTCCACTTTTATTCTAAAGGACTCTCATGCAGGTAGAAACAGCTTTAGGTGTCAATGCCTTGTGAGGTTATAAGTGAATTTACCTTTTACCAAGTCAGTTGTAGTTTCTTGTATTTTCTTTTTTTAATTCTTGAAAAGTGACTGCAACTGATATTTGTAAATCCTTCTTACTTTTATATATTCTGGTTATCACAGCATTTGTATTGTGTATTATAGAAAAAGGAAAGGTGGGGTGGGCTGAATCATGTTACTGTGAATACAAGAGTTCTGCTTCAGACACATGCTGCCTGCGAGAAGTAGAAAAGCTTTGTTGAAATGTTATTGTACATAACTGTAGAATAATGAACCTGACAGACTCTTATCTGTTAACGTTCTGTTTTCTTTTGTTCCTTTTTACATATTTCACAGAATTGAGTTAACATTATTCTGCACTGCACTGTCTGGGTCAAAGAGATCTACAGCATGTGTTGTAGTCTCAGTCTAGTTTGGTGCTTTCTATGACAGTGCGTACTCTGGCACTCTGATTGTTGTTTATATGCAGTTGTTCAAACGTTGCCTTAGGGTTGTTCTTGTACAGTTTATTTTCTCACTTCAATTGATTTCATAAATACTTTTATTTGAAGTCTAAGAATTCCTGAAACATTTATCCTGTGATTTTAAAATGTACAGACTCTACCTATATGCTTTTATAAAGTAAAAAAAAAGTGTGAAGCATTTTTCTCAGAATGTTTTGATTTAAAAAAACTGCTGTTGTTGCAAAAGGGCTGTTAAAGTTCCACCTGTCAGGACATCATCAATCAATCAAATTTTATTTGTACAGCCCATATTCACAAATCACAATTTGTCTCATAGGGCTTAAACAAGGTGTGACATCCTCTGTCCTTAACCCTCAACCAGAGGAAGGAAAAACTAAACAAAAAACACTTGACAGGGGAAAACAAAACGTAGAAACCTCAGAGAGAGCCACATGTGAGGGATCCCTCTCCTAGGACGGACAGAAGTGCAATAGATACCACGTGTAATGGAGAACATCAGAAAACTAGAGTAAGAGTAATTCATTACAGCATTGGTTAGAATAAACAGTTTGTAGCATGATGGAAGGTAGATACATTGAGGAGTTATTGTCAGTAATGGTAGAGTACCTGAGTAGACATATTGTATATCAAGCAGTCTTGTTGAAGTCATAGTCCACGATCAGCTGCCAGATCGATCATGGTCCACCACTACGATCAGATGCCAGCCCGGTAGAGGATCCGCCATTATGATCACAAACTCTGATTTGCAATCCTCCATCATAATCCACGATGTGGCCGCAGTTGAGATTAACACTATAAGCAGGGCTTTATTTCACTGAGGTAAATATAACAGAGCACTCATATGTACGTACTGGAGGCTTCAATAGAAATGCCACCCTTTCACTTTATATGAGGTGACAATGACATCATGCATTGAATCAAGTGGTGCCGTTGCTTCACTTTGGTTCTTGCATTGTGTGCAGTAGAAGTTGAGAAAAAGGTAACTTATCAAGAGGCAGTGCAAGAATCAGCCAATCGAATCACGTTGAAGCAAATACAGGTCACAGGTACATGTGGGTGCACTATAACGCTACTGGTCAACACAACGCATGTTCTCAACACAACGCATGTTCAGGAGTTGTACATTTGTTACCATGATTTTATTTGAGTACAATATGATATGGGTTTCACAACCTATTCCAAAAATATGAGGAGCTGTCTCGGCCAAAACTTAATACAAACTAATGTTGCATGTGCCTCAGCTGAGTCGTCATTACCATGAAAATTACTTTGCCAGTTCATTCCCTGACTCGTGCATTGGTGAGTATGGTGGGTGACCTTGTAGCCGGTACTAGAGAGATGCATGTTTCCTGTATAAAATTGACTATGTCATCCATAGAGGGCTCTAACTAGCCTTTCACACATCTTCACCTAATTTACAATTATCAGACAGGACTGAACCGAGGGCTCGGTGTATTCGTCAAGCAATCAAAAATTACTCTCAAAGCTACCTGTGACGTTCTCTGTATCATTCTCTCTACTCTCAATGCCTCTTTTCATGTACAATGCCTGTACAATGAGTTTGGGTTATATAAATACTCCACTACTAAGAACACACATGTATACACACTCAAGCACAAACATAAATGCATTCTGACACATACACATATGAACGCATATTCCCGCTGACCTGCTGTCACTGTGTCCCTGTATATCTGAAAGGAGTAGCTTTATTTTCACTACAGCACAGTGGCTGTTACACAGGATGGCACGTTAAATAAGAAACTAATGATTTTGGTTGAGAAGGTTAATTAAAAAGTCTGGAGATTTGCGGTAGCATAGACTTGCAGTGGTGTATGCCCCTTTACTGTGGGTGAACATGGCCCCATCGTTCTAACTCCTCTTCCAACAAAACCCCAGATCAGGTCTGGGTTCCTCCCTGTTTTGGTTCCTGCCCTGCCTCCTTAGTGGCAGGTAGTGGCATTGTTAAGTGATGTGTTTACATGCAGACTCAGCCTTCTACACAGGCTAATCGATTCGTTGCCCTTGCTAAAACCTTTGTTTGAGTCTTATTGTTGTCTTGCCCACCTTTTGAGTGATTTGTGCCGAGGCCTCACACTAGTGAGCAGATTCAGAATATCAATATGGATTGAATGAAGCAAGGTGAGCGTGGCTAATATCTGTTTTATCTTTGTACGTTCACCTGCTGCTTGTCCTTGCTCTGAGACACAGCACTGACTCACACTTTTTGTCTCTGTGAGGTTTGCTGTGCTGCAGTCACTGGACACTCAGTAGTTTGCTTCTCTACAAGTGGTCTGCCCCTCTTTTTGGTTTCTGTAACTTCCATTTGGTTATAAATATTTTCTTTATAACAGGACCAGCCCCTACTGTCTGATTATTCTGAATACCACAATAAGGTGGTTAAGTCATTAAGAAAACTCGTCAGAAATGAGTCTATTTATGACAGTTTTTCCTGGGGTGCAATTGTTGGCCTGTCTCTGTTCTCTCTCCCTGTATCTCTCTCTCCCTCTCAAACACACACACACACACACACACACATACACACTAGACTGTAACAGTACATAAGGCTCAATGTCTGCATCAGTGGAAAGGAAATGACAAATAGACTTAGTAACATGCAGTATACCAACTACAATATTAATACATTTCTGTTTCTGTTGTACTCTGTTGATATAACAATGTACATGATGTAGAGTGCACCTTATATGGAGAACATGAAATACTGTACATCTGTAGTATATTTTAAGCACCAAAAGAATATCTAAAATTGCAGCATTATAACATTGTAATAGAAATGTTATTTACTCAAATTACTCACAATCCATGCATCAATATGCAGTTTGCACAATATTTTTTTTCTAATATCAAGCTCAATTAATTTGCATGTTTTATTTGAGAGAAAACAACTGGATGGGGCTAAGCTGAGAGTTTTATTTATGGGGTAAATTGGGAAACAAACGAGGTGACATAACCTGTTCGGAAAACACAGCAGATAGAAGAGAGCAAGCTATTGATGTTAACGGCTATTTCCACTGCAAGTATGTGTCTGGTTTAAGGAAAGGACTGGATTCTCTTAGATGCAAGGCAGCAGTTTCCATAGTGATGCATGTTTTTTTTATAAATCCCAGTACTCCCTCCAACAACATGCTATCGTCACGCACGCACACACAAACATGCACGCACATATGCATAAAGGCTTCTTGATAACAGGTTGGGCTGAATTAGAACCACTCAGGACATCGGTAGTTTGTGACATTTAGCAGATTCATCTGATTTGTTAATTAGGATAATAATATATGCGTGCTGACTGTCATGAATTTGTCACCTCCTGCTCGTTAGACCTTGTTGAGTTAGGCAAGTCAGTACTGGAACATTATTGCAATATGAGTTATAGAAATAGAACACATTAAAATAAAGTGACAGGCCAAGAGCTGTTTCTATAGGAACAACAACCACTGACCTATTAAACTGCTTTTTTTACTCACTGTTTGAACACTTTTTTATTTTTATCATGTCACATTCATATACTGTGTGGCTTTGGAATAGAATTTCCATATTACTCATTGATCTACCCTTAATCATCACTGCATGCTAAAGGGGCAAAACATTTTTAGAGGTTTTTGCTAATTTAGCAAACTATATAAATCTGAAGCTGAAATCTCATTTTCAAAAGTAATGTACATCCTGTTTGCTTTAATTATCCTTGAGACTTGTCTACAACCAAACTGTATTGACTGGACATAATTTAGAATGTCTACTTAAGGTGCCACAATTCACACCATGTCTGGACTCCCTAATGTTTGAGCTCCACGTCCTGTCCATCCTACTCACCAAGTGAGAGCCTCCTGAGTTTCTTCGGTCTTTTGCCGGCTGTCACCCGAGGATAATGTCTGCAGAAACTCTGGAGGGGCTCAAGTGAGAATACAGCAGGAAATCTTCCGCAGAATTCACCACTAGCAAGTGGCGGGTTGACGACATTTCTGACAAGCAACAGACACAAAAATGAAAAAAAGAACAAGAAAGCAAATATATCCGGATGAAAAAGCAGTACCATACATGAAGAAGGCACAGATGGAGATGTCAAGAGAGTGCAACAGAATAAGTATCTTGCTCCATGTTTCTGCTTTGCTGAGGACACTCTACTCCCTGATGGCTCCTGCCAACTAAAAGGTCTCTGTAGCTGTTTGCCCATATTGTTTCCAAACATGTGCAAAGTTGCTCTGTGAAACATGGACACACTAGAGTTCTCACAGTAGCAGCAGATACTCTTGTTATTTATTTTATTTTATTTATGTTTCACGGAGTCACTGGTCTGGCAAAATAAATGTTCACAGTTGGGATAAGACAGTAGTTTAGTGAGAGTATGAAGAGGGGCCGAAATAATTGCTTGACCAATGTTTCACTTTGTCATTTCTTATATGACCTACGATATACCCTAAACAGCCAGACTAGTCAGAACCTTGAAGACATCCAAAATTACCAGAAAATAAAGTCCTGTAAAGTCAAGTGGACATATTTCAACTTTACCTGCCTGGTCCTTTTGCCCTGGCTCTTGGAATGTAAATCCAGATGCCCCCTCCTGCCAGTTTGAGCCAGATGACTTCCCTGCAGACCACCATCCCGCTCTTAACATGCGTAATTGGAGCTGTGGCCTGGGGCAATGAAAGCAAGGTTAGAATGTTTCTCGATCTCTAATGGATGTTCTCCGACTGCCTCTTCTTCCCAATTGCTTTGCTTCAGATTCTGCAACCTTGACATTCAGTTGCCATATTGGAGTACATAGAACTGTCTCCGCAACCAGAGCTTCTGGTGGCCCCTTCTGAAAGTGGACACTGTCTCATTTGTGTCCAATAAAAACCTCCTGCCATGGCCCTTCAGTATGCTCGTCCCATTTCCCTGCTCCCACCTTCCTGGATATCACTGCTGTACTTCCCCTGTTCAAAAGTAACAGTTATTCTAACGATCACTCTTTTTTCAGAGACGGCCCACTTTGTGCTACTGCATAAATTCCCTACTGCCAAGGAGACAACAGAAGATATGCTCTCCAACAGGACATTATTTAGGGCCCCAGGTGGACTGAGGTCTA